TATTTACCACTGTCCCCACAGTGGACATAATCATTATGCAGAGCAAGCATGTACAAAACAAAATTAAAAACTGGTAAAACTAGGGCCGGCAAGATAGTTCAGCATCGCTCAGTGAATTAAGTGCCCACTTAGGCACTTAATTCAGGCACAGGGCCAGGGTTCAATTCCCTGCACCACATGCCACACTGGCTCTGCAGGCCACTGAGCGTGGTACCACATGCCTGTAATCCCAGTGCTAGGGAGGCTGAATGCAGGAGGATCACTACGAGCCCAAGATCAAGCCCGACCTGCTGGGCTCCATAGTTAGACCTGGTACCAAATGTATTTTTAAAAAAGCCAGGGGCTGGGGAGATAGCTCAGTAGAGTTAAGCACTCGTGTGGCAGGCGCAAGGGCCTGAGTTCAATCCCCAGTTCTGCCAAAAAAAGAAAAGAAAAATGGAGACATGCATTCTGCTACTGAGCTGCACCCTTAGCCCAAAAATTTATGCTTTTTAGGATATGGGACAGTAATAATGTTGCCCTTCTACAGATGGAGCAATTCAAGTCCAAGATCATAAAGCAGCCAGGCATGGTGACACATGTCTGCACTCCCAACATTAGGGAGGATGAAGCATGAGGATCACTGCCAAGTTTGAGGCCAGCCTCAGCTACATATTGAGCTCAAAGCCAACCTCAAGTGCATACTAACACCCTGAAGAAGAGGAAGGGAGGGGAGGGGTAAGGGAGAGGGGAAAGGGGAAAGGAAAAAAGATTGTAAACCAAACCACTGTGCAAAGAGTACACTCCCTCTGTATACTATAAAGACATTCTTACTCAACTCAGAGACTAGTCTTTTCATAGTAAAGCAAAGCTATACAAACATGTAGAACTTCTTAATTTTAAAGTGAAAAAAAAAAAAAACTTAAGGTGAAAAGAGTCAACAAGGAACATGGATTAAATATGTTCAAATAATTTGTATCTTTGAGCCAAAGATATTTTCCTATCTTTCTTTTTAGGTAGCCTTTCTAAAAGAGGAGGCAAGTAAAAATTGCTCTATCAGTCTTTCAGCTAAAAACGCCTGCATTTCAGACAATCAGCATGGCTTGAGAGCATACATTTTAAGAGAAGAAACTAAAGTTATTTTTATTAATAGGCTACCACATATAATTTTGTAAAAGTACTAGATTCATACACTGGATTTTGCCCCCTAGTACCAGGGATTGAACTGAGTATCCTGCGCTTGCCAGGCAGGCGCTTATTCTGAGCTATCTCCCGCCCCTACACTGGATATTTTTAAAGGTGGTTAAAAGTGAGCTTTGGGGCTGGTGAGATGGCTCAGTGGTCTAAAGCACCTACTTAGAACAAGCTAAGCTAAGCAAAGCACAGGGACCACGGTTCAATCCCCCAGCACCACATGCCAGCCAGCCCCGCCCTCTGGTGGGCTGAGCTGGCCACACATACACACATACACACACACACACAAATAAAATTAAAAAAAAAATAATAAAAAAAAAAATAAAAGTGAGCTTTTTTTTCTGGTACCAGGAATCGAACTCAGGATCTTGCACTTGCCAGGCAGGTGATGTGACACTGGGCTATATCCCTTGCTGACAGTATATTTTCTGCATCAACTTCTTAGCAAGATTTCTACTAAAAGATGCCTAAACTGTTCAAAATGATGGCAAGAGTCTAGTACTGCCTTTGAACAAAATTGAATAAATAAATGCCGGGCCAGGGAGATGGCGCAGTAGAATAAGTGCTTCCCTGGCAAGTTCAATCCCAGTTCAATCCCCTGAACCTGAGTTCAATCCCTGGTTCTGCCAAGAAAAAAAATAAATAAATGCCAAGAAGCACTAACTTTAACTGTTATGAGTTATTAATTTGGAAAGAATCAATTCTCTGAATTCTAAGGATTTCTACATTCTTGTACAGTAACAATGGTTCCCCCAGTATGAACTCACCCATGGTCATACACACACAAACACACTAAGTAGCTACAACTAAAATGCACTGTGCCTGGCTTAAAAGTCCATTCAGTTTGCTTGAACTTCCAGTATTCACACTGGCAAACACTGTATTTATATACACTGCCTGTTACGAGGTGTTCTGTTGCTAAATAAATTGAAAAATAATGAAATAACTAGTGGTCGTGCTTTTAAACTTTTGTATTATAAAAGCTTGTTAATCCAGGTGTGGGTGGGGGCTGGGGAGACAGCTCAGCGGCGTAAGCACCTGCCTGCCAAGTGCAAGGTCCCAAGTTCAATCGCCAGTACCACAAAAAAACAGATGTGGTGGCTCATGCCTGTAATTCCAGTCCTTCTGAGGCTAAGGCAAGAAGATCACGACAAATTCTAGTCAGCTTGGGCAACACAGTAAGTTCAAGGACAGCCTAAACTACACAGCAAGACCCTGTCTCAAAAAACGAAAGAACGATGAAATGTTTTGCTTCTCAAGTACTTTTACAAAAAAAAAAAAAAAGTTTTATTTACTCAAATTAAGGGCATATGCTTTGGAGTGAGAAAGCCAGAACAGAATCCCATCTCAGCTCCATTACAACTGTTAACCTGGGCAGATTAACTCAACTCTCTTGGCCTTTTTCTTTACCTGGATTAGGAAACTTCTTTTGTTAGTGTTGATGGGATCATTTATGCAAGTGTCTCAGCATGTGTCTAAGTAAGTGGCTAACATTTGCCCATTGCTATTGTGGGGGGGGGGGGTGGCAGAGTGACAATAATGATTGACAATACTGTTTACTTATAGAGGCCTTTACACATGTCTGAGAAATTACATACATATACCAAAAAATGACATTTATGGAAGAAAAAAATGCTTCTGAACAGAATTTAACATCAAATTGTCTCTTGAATAAAATTTAACCGCTAAATCAAGCACAACAACATATGCCTATAATCCCAGCACTGGGGAGGCTATGGTAGGAAGATATGTAAATTAGAGTCCGGTCTAAGCAATTTAGCAAGAGCCTGTCTTAAAACAAAAATAAGAGCTGTAAATGTAGCTCAATGGAACAGTGTCACTAAGGTTCAATGCCCAGAAACATAAAATAAACTTTAAAATAAATGAAATTCATCCTCTATTAAATCTTTCTCACTATTGACTTACAATTAAGTCTCAAGGGACCATTAACTCGGCCAGACATGGTAACACACACCTATAATCCCAGTACTCAAGAGGATGAGGCAGTAGGATCCCTGTGAGTTGACACCAGCCTGGGCTCCATAGTGAGTTCAAGGCCAGCCTGAACTATATAGTGAGACCCTG